ACTCAATATCTCTGACGTCAAATTTCTCAAAATTAGGTACTAATCAGATAAAACTTAATAATTTTGAGGTAGCGATACCGTTATGGGCTCGATTTTCATAACCGACCTGATTATGTGGACCCCATCTTGCAGGCGAGCGCACAATCCGCTAACAAAGAGAGACAACTCATGTCACTACGATCGTAATAACAGAGAAAAAAAAATACAAGAAATTCTCTCACTGTACATTGTATAGAGGTATAACGTCCCTTTCGATAATGTAAGGATATTTAAGATGCCGGGCCAGGGGGAGGGGGTCCAATAGTTTAACGTCCTTTTCCGATAAGAAAGCATAAGAAAGATCGAGCCACGCGAGTTCAGATCGGCTACTTGTGGGTTTGAACCAGGACCACCCGGTCTGTATTCCACCATGACACCAACTGAGCTAAAGGTGCTAATGAGGAGTAGATTAGAGTAAGGGTAGTTGTTTGCTAGTAAGTCATAGCGACCACGGCCACTTTTCTCCAGAAACAAATTCAAACAGAGGTAGCATCGAGTAAAAAAAAAAAAAAAAAAAAAAAGGAAAAACAGATAATAAAACACCGGTTAACAGTTCCAAACTATTGGGCAGGCAAATTGCTACCTCAAAATTACAAAATTCTTTCTGACATATTTTTATAGGCGTTTTGAGCTACTGGTAACATGAAGTAAGAAACATAATGTTCTATCTGCTCTATCAAAATCGTAAGATATTTCTGAGTCGTTATCAAGATATTCAACGAATTGCATTTTAAAAATCTTGACGTGATGTGAAACTCAACATCTTAGACATCAAATTTCTCAAACCTAGGAACAGAGCAGATAGAACTTTGTAATTCTAGGGTAGCGAAATGTTAATAGAATATGACCATACAGTCATGTCCCTTTCTTTCTCGCTTACATGACAGATTACTCGGACGTTTGAGTGAAGAGAAGAAAATCGAAACAATACCGGTCAGTATTCTGATCACAACCAAAGCTAATTTCTTGAGTAGTAACGAATTGAATTTCATACTTCCAGTAGCCATTTGAATAAACGTGTACCCACATTATAGTGAGATGGTCGAGCGGGTTGCAAATGTTTTAGACCCAAATAAACACAATTTAGATCACAGTGGACTTGGGATGCGTGTTGCTTTGACCCAGCCCACGTCAGGGCGAACACGGACTGAGTGGGAACAGATAACATCCTAGTTTTAGTTAGGTTTTACTGCACTCGCAACTGCATAATGTCATATTATGAGCGTCAATGGGCGGATATCAACAGAGAAGTCCAAACAGGGAATCGGGCTTACTCTGCTCACCTCTCTAGCCTCAACAGCACAAAGTCTGCTTCGACTATCAAGGCACCCCGGAAAGAGCAGTTCACAAGAGAGTGACGAACATACAAAAAAGTAGAGAAAAAAATGACGATAGTAAGGGTGAGGAAAGAAAAAGCAGCAGTTCCCGCTATGTTGTACCGGCACAGTATGAGCATGACGTTGATAAATCAGCCCATGTACAAATCTACTGTGCATCGATAAGATAGCTTCGCCCTCTGTGGACTCGATCTCAGTTTCTACGTCCATCAGCTGAAAGGCTTAACCATTTCACAATATACGCCGGAGAAAAATAAGGACATGTTTAGATTTAATTAGTTTTAGTAAGAGTATTAAAGCGCTTGTAACACAAATAGGTCACATAAATACCGGATCAAGACATAAGGACAAATATAGCAGAGGTGAATGACCGGAATCAGATTCAGCCACTTCTGCTGAGGTATCCTTCGGAGATAAGTACCGTAAATAGTGAATGGCAAATCGATTACCTCGCTCTATTCCATTAGGAATGATAAAGGATTTTAAAAGCCTTGGCCGAACAGTCGGTGACCGCTCGTGATAATGTAGCGCCCTTTCAGACACATGGAGGTCATTTGAAAAGAGGACTGTCCTACACCACCCCCGCACCTCTCTCTCTCTCTCTCTCTCTCTCTCTCTCTCTCTCTCTCTCTCTCTCTCTCTCTCTCACACACACACACACACACACACACACACACACACACACACACACACACACACACACACGCACAAACACAATCAGAGCCAAGCATCAACAAAATATTCACACAACAAAGCTATATTGTTCTGTGTATAGTTTTAATAACAGCTGAATTTAAGAATCACAAGAGCATTCATAAAACAAAAGCAAACAATGAATGTAAAATATGGCTGGTTGATTGACTTAGGAGGGATAGGTTGATACCCCTGCAGAGCTCGCAGAACATGGAAGCACCATCCATATAACAATTACAACAATATTTACATCAGAAAGGATTTTAAATTAAGGTATTTTACGCCCCTATCAGCACAATCTAAATTACTTGGGAGGCGGGATTCAACCCTGCCTGTTAGGGTCAGCTCATGCTGAGGGGTTTTTGATTGATTGTGTAGATGTGTTTTACTGCATTATAGACACAATTTTGTTCAAACAAGCGAAAAAAAAACCCAACAAAAAACCAACTGACGTTTTATCACTAGTGTGTCCATTTAAAAAGACGGACAGACATGTATACAATTCTTCGTAAATATGGCAACAATTTCACTCGACTTTCATGCATGTGAAATGGTATATTTTTTAAATCACACCAATTTCTTTCACAAAATTAAGTATGGTCTTCGGGTCGACTGTATCAAAAGGAGTAGAAGAGACACTGGTTTCCTGGGCGAAATCTTCGGTTGGATGTTGTGAACTTTGTTCTGATTCTGTTGGTCCCAAATTTTAGTCCAGATGAAAGTAATATTTACGTATGTAAATAAACATTATGTGTTTCGATTTTGTAGTTCAAGTCACAGAACGTTATTTTAATTGTTTTCGATGTCGGCGAGTTTTAGAGTCTATTCTTTGGCATAGTGGTCAACAGCCTCTTTACCATCAAAACCGACATGGCTGGGAGGCCAAGCCAGAGTAATGGTTTTGCCAGATAGGTGTAAAAAATGTATATTAAATCTGGTTTCAAAAGTGCCACCAAAGATTTCCAACAAGATATAGAGTCGGCAAGACTAGTAAGAGTCGGGAAGGTAGGTTTAGCGGCTTCTTGTACTATGTTTACGACCATTTCAAGGACGGTATCCACAGAAGAGTAGACACAGTTTTCTAAATGAATTTTTCTTAACTAAGTTTAGTTTATTCTTTTAGTAGAGGTTTTACGGCGCTCGAAACTGCATAAGGACATATGAGCGCCAGAAGATTAGAGCTGTTACAAGAGAGTAACAAACATTTAAAAAAAGAAGAAGGGGAGATAAGGACGATAGATGTTTGATAGGAAAAAAGAAGTAAACCACACCAGAACACACGCCAAAAACCCACTTTCTTAAATAGGCGTAAACCACAGAGCTATGGCACCTCAAGGACAGCAGCTCCGACTGAGGTGGGCTTTCTAAAACCCGTCTGTGAAACATCTGCATTAGGTAGGATATATATATATTTATTATTTCTTTTAGATTGTTTTGTAAGTTGATTGTGTCCTTTTAGGTAAGTACATGTAGTTTGGTCTGTAGACTTTGTGTGTTCTGGTTTTCAACAATTATTTTTATTACATGTTTTGGTCACGACGCGGTGGAATCGGGAGCTCGACAGTTTCGGGGCATATGGAGATACAGGTATACTTTTAAAGCCTGCTCATTTGCCATGGGTAAAATGCCCATCTATCTCGAATAGAAGTCGAGATATTTGTGGTTTAAGGTGACGTGGGCTGCCTGTTAGAAGTAAAAGTAGCGAGAAAATGGCCGCCAAACTTTGGCGAGTTTCAAAACTGTTGTGACCTTGGTAACTACCAATTTATATTTTCTGCGCCTTTGATCTACGTTTTAGTAAAAATCTATGCTGGAATGTGTTTTTAAGTAGACATAAAACGTGATCAGCACAAAACAAATAAAAATCGATAAACATTGCCAAAAGGTTGGGAAAATGCCAATTTCTTCGATTTTCATTAATTTGACGAGGGCCTGATTCCACCACATTGCCTCACGTCTGATTTAATCAAATGCCATGGATGTATACTCGAAATGGTGGTAAAGTGTACGGTGGCATTTTCAACAACAAAAAAATCAATATCTTAAAGATCGTTTTTGGATTCCCACTTCGACCGTGCTGACGTTATTGCTAGAAAAGAATAATATTTTTACGTCTTTCAGCTGGTCCAAATACACATTTGTGGGCTGCGTCTTGGGGTACTGAACTGAGTTTCAACGTGCACTGTAAAGAAAGTATTTTATGTTTAAAGGACGGTTGATTAGCTTCTGCCTGTAAACTTTCTACAGGTGAAGTACGGAAGGCACCTCGGTCAAGGAGAATGCCTTGTTCCGGATAGCGTATAAAAATTGGAGTTACGATTTTCTGGCATAGTCCAGCCAAGAACGGACACGACAGCGGTAGAGTAGACAAGTGTTTCAGTGTCTCCACCTCATTCAGGGTTTAATAATACTTTTAGAGCATTAAGAGCAGCCTGACATTCATCTTCAGGGACCTTTGGGTGTGGAAGGAACGACAGTGTGTTGTCAAAGATGACGCCCAGAAAACGAGAGATCGAAAGTATTGTGGTTGGTTGTCAGACAAGGATTTAACATAGATGCTGGTATTAGTGGGATGGAATGATTGTGGAAATAAATGGATACGTATATTAATAACAGGAAACATGTTAAGCGGTTGATTAAGTATAACAACAGATCACATGCACACTATGCTGTTAAGGTTAAAAGCACGAAGGGTAAAATCTGAGTACAAGACATAATCAAATACAATATTTTCTTCTGTTCCACTTTTCCTCTTCCACGTCGCCTTCTTCCCCCTTTGACGTCAAGTGGTTGTCTTTTTGGAAGAGCAGTTTACAGCAGCCAACAACAGGTATGGTGCTCGCCTTTCATGCCAAAGTACCTGGTTCCAATTCGGACCATGCCTGATTGTTTAATTCTCTTCTTCTTCTTTTTCTTCTTCTTCTTCTTCTTCTTCTTCTTCTTCTTCTTCTTCTTCTTCTTCTTCTTCTTCTTCCTCCCCTCTTTCTCTTCTTTGTTTAATCTGTTCTTTTTCTCAATTTAGCACAAACAAAACAAGTCATAAAATTCAATCTTCTTCTTCCACACGCCAGATCTTAAGGTAAGTAAGTAGAACTACCTCGTGTTCTCGGATAAGGACGAAAATCTCGAAGGTCCCGTGTGCACGGTGCGCACTTTAAAGCTCCCTTGGTGGTTGAAAAATCGTAGAAGAGCAGACTTTTAGGCCTCCACCAGGACAAAAGTCAACTTTCAAAATGTCCCTACTTGAAAAAATCCCTTTATCACTCCTGTAAAATAGCAAGATGTACACTTATAAACACCTTCAACGATTCCAAACATATTGACGATGTCTCTCCTTTGGAGCATATAAAGGAATTCAAGATCCAAGGGGAGGGAAGTAGTAGTCGGACAATCCACTTAATTGTCTACTTCCCAGTCAAAGCAGTATGATGCATTCTATTTAATGATCGTCTGTCAAGGCAAAAGTTCATAGTGTTGTAGTTTACAGCGATTCTTGACGGTGACGGCCACCTTTCGTCAGGAAAAGACGATGACGATATATCAACACTGACAAGACTAGTGGACGCAAACCACTCAGGAGCAGCCACCAATCACAGGTGCCACAGGTGCATCAAGGGGAAATGACTCCAGAGTTGTGACCGTGTTTCAAGGGGAAGTACATGTAGCAGAGTTCCGAGAGAGCATCCAGGGGAATTAACCCCAGAGTTGCGACAGTTTTCATCATTCCGTAGCCTCTGATGTTGCGACGGTGACGTCCTTGCGACTTCGTCAGAACAAACATATTAAATATAAAGAAAAGTGTCCGTCGCGTTTTCTGACGCCGCTTCCCTTCCTCCTCAGTTCTTAAAACAAACGTTTGGCAGTCCTTTCACGCAACTGAGATGAACAGAGAGCGGACTAACGTCGGCCACAGTCATAACATAAGAGTCAAAGAGGTTTCTCGGCTTTGTCCTCACTGTACTGCTCGTACATGTATATATAGCGTTCATCTCCCTGTGGTGTACACTGAATACATAACTCAATTCGGTTTTGCATTTGTTGTCTTATGTCCTACTAAACACAATGCAAGTCATTCTTTACGAATATACGACAATAAGTTCAGGGGCAGGACACAAGGCGAAGGGACACTATTTCAGGGATGGTGAGAAAAACAATTCACCGGTTTTAAGGGAAAGGTAAGGGTTTTCGCCATTATTCTATGTATAATTCAATAATACAAAACGGGTTCAACTGAATCAAAATCAAAAAGAAAAAGAAAAACAAAGCAAACCAACAAAAACAAAGGTTACACAAAGAACCGAACTCGCTCTTTCAAATTTGTTCAGACATGAAACAAACATGATATTATAACTCAATACTACGGCTTACAAACGCGTGTCCAGTGCATTATATCAATCAAACCAGCAGGTTATTGAGCTATGTAGGTGTAAATTTCGCTGGAAAACGGAATAGACAAGTCGTTGAGGTCTAAACCAGGCCAAGATCGAAGAATCTGCCTCAGCTCATTAAGATAGGCTTCCTGTTCTTCCTTGGGCAACATGTTATAAGCAGAGGTTGTGGTCAGGTTTTGCAGAATCTTCTCCACATCGCCTCTGAACTCAATCCCGGGCAGGGAGAGATGTTCTTTAAAGGAGAACAACGGCGAGTCCTTGATGTCTCGCTGCCATTGCTTACTGTTGATGAGAAATTTCAACGAGCTGCCCGTACGTGCGTAAACCTTCTTGCGCTGCTCGTAAATCGGCTTCATCCAGTCGCGTTCAAACAGCTTCCAATTCATGACAATCATGAGTCTCCCGCCCGGAACCAGAACCCGGCGAATTTCTTCCAGATATTCTTTATCAGCGAACCAGTGAAAGCTTTGAGCGCACACGACGTTCTCTGCTGAGCCATCTTCCACAGGAATGGCGCCGGCATCCCCTACAACGGTGTCCACTCCCAGGTTTTTCGCAGCCATGGTGTCGTGAAACTCCTGAGAGGGCTCGAGAGCCAAGTAGCGACAGGATTCCGGCAGCTTCTTGCACAAGACTTCCGTGAGCTTGCCCGTTCCGGCGCCCAGTTCGACCACGTTATACTTGGTGGTACCAGTCGACTCCGGTCGAGATTTTGCAACAGCAGCCACCTCGGAGACAACGTAGTCGACCGCCTCGGCGGTGTAGCTTGGCCTTCCCTTCTCGTAGTTGTCGGCCCCGGTTTTAAACCCAACGGCAGCAATGTAGGCGCCATCGGGTTCACCGTCTGCCTTAGTGGAGCAATGCATCTGAGGAGAAAAGTGGGCGTTGGGAAACGTCGGACAGTTCAGTGTCAATGCGGTATGTGGGAGGCGCGAGAAGAGATTCTGGGAAAAGGGAGACGAATGCAGGAGCCTGGGTCTTATTTGGGTGGGATTCCTATGTCGAACGGAGAGTAAATATTTGTTTACTCGTGGTGATTTGACAAGGCTGCCAACTGACTGTCTGTCAAAAGTACAGTAGCTTAAATGGCGAGTAGGAGAGGGTACGGCAAGCTTATTTTGCAAGACATGCTGGGACGTAGCCCTTGCAAGTCGTCTCATTAGAGACATGTTAGTGGGTTTGCTGGAGGTGAGGGCACAGATATAGAGGTTACTGGGGAGTCGAGCCATCGCAGACAGTCTCAACGGCGGGGACCCGAAAAGAAATTCTGAAAACAGGAAACAGAAAAAAAGGATCTTAGAAAGATGAAGTGAAAGCTTTTGAATGTGTTTAATGCCTTTCTGGACACTAGTCTTTTCGGAAGGCGAAGCAGATGAATCAAAGAAAAAAGAAAAGAAGAAATAAAGCATGAAACGATGCAGAAAAAAATTAATAGATTTAAAAAAAAGTTAACACCATCACCACCACCACCACAACCAACAAAAACAGCAGATAGGACACATGTGCAGCTAAACATATTGTATTTTCATCATAACACAACACATGTTTTCCTACATCACTAGTACAGGTGTCTGTCTCCGTCATTTGTGATGAAGATTATGCGTGTTGTATTACATGTATCAAACCTCACTACACTAGACGGTTGAGAGGGAGGAGGGGGGGGGGGCGAGGGTATCCAACTTGAGTTTGCCCAACTGTTTGGGGCCATTAAGATCTAGGACAAAAAAGAGGGAAGGCAATGGCCAGACGAGGGAAGAAGCGCCCACCACCCACTTTTAAACCAGTGACATTGGTAACGATACGATGAGTACATGTTACACTTACCGCAATTCAAGTCGATCAGAGACCTTATCTTAATCTAGGGAGCGTACTTGCCCTTTTTTATTTAACCAGCATCAAAGTTATTATAAGAGGGAGACAAAACAATAACCAACAACAAAATGAACAGAAGGTCGTGCAGAGCATGTGTGTGTGTGTGTGTGTGTGTGTGTGTGTGTGTGTGTGTGTGTGTGTGTGTGTGTGTGTGTGTGTGTGTGTGGTGTGTGTGTGTGTGTGTGTGTGTGTGTGTGTGTGTAAAATCGAAGTCAATAGACAGAAAAGGAAAGGGACAGACAGACAGACAGACAGACAGACAGACAGACAGACAGACAGACATGCACGCAGACAGACAGACAGACAGACAGACAGACAGACAGACAGACAGATAGACAGACAGACAGACATGCACGCAGACAGACAGACAGACAGACAGACAGACAGACAGACAGACAGACAGACAGACAGACAGATCAGCATGAGGCTGACTGCTTCGATCCTGAGAGTCAGAGCCAACACAGAGTAAGTGGAACACAGCATCCATTCTACTTTATGAATATACAAACACCCCGCCACCCCCACCCCCCCCCAGTGCCCCTGACTGATGTGTCCTTGGTCCATTGCCAAAGGGGGACATTTCTCGTTCTAATGCTCACTAGAATTGTAAATGGGCTGACCTAACAAATGTCATAAGCTCATAACTGAGCCTGAACTACAACAGGGTACTGCTGCTTTTTCTGTCCTAATCCTTACTATCGTCATTTCCATCTACTTCTTTTGTATGTTTGTCACACTCTTGTGACTCGCTTTTTCCGGGGTGCCTTGGTAGTCGAAGCAGACTTTGTGCTGTTGAAGCTAGAGAGGTGAGCAGAGTAAGTCTGATTCCCTGAAAGGACTTCTCAGTTGACCTCCACCCCTTGGCGCTCATATGACCTTATGCAGTTGCGAGCGCCGAAAAAACTCAACTAAAACTAAACTAAAACACCCAGCCACAGGAACAGCATTCACGTCTGACACTGTGAAATGGTATTGGTTTAGCGCCCAGGTTATTTAAGAGGAAGGACCAACGAGTATAACGTTCATCTCCCAAAGGACAAAGCCAATAGGGAAATAAGTTAAGAGTAAAGTGCATTTCCCAAGGACACAACATCGGACAGAGCTCATGAGGCTCGAACCCCCGAACCCGCAATCTCACGATTACAGGTAAGTCTGGCACCAGAACCATTAAGTTACAGACGCCACTCATTCATGTCCTCTGAATGCCTCCGCAACAAATGTAACCATTATACGGTCGCTTATAAGGACAAGCGGGCTAACCCAGATTTCGGGTGTTTCCAGAAATCTTGACCTACACCAAAAGTGGGTATTGCCCTACCTTTAGGAGAAGTTCGGTTTCATTGGTGTGTATATTTATTTGGTTATCCAAAAACCTGTCCTTGTCTTTTAAAGAAACTGAACAAGAGGCCAAAACTTTATCTTCGATTTTCTCAAAACAGCATTTTTTGGGATAGCCCCCTTGAGCTTAAAAGCGACCATATGATATATACAAGTACACCCAATACACCACACACGCCCAGACGGCGTGTAAACATTGATGTGTAGCTTTACAAACTGATATCGGCAAGCCCAGCAACATTAATAAACTTGAATCATAATAATATCCTAGACCAGGCACTGTCATGGCCGCCACTTTTTTTTCTTCATAGAGATCTAAAAGTAAAAGACGTCTCTGTGCTGGCACGCACCATGGATGAGCAAATCAAGGGAAAAACACCAGTCACTCTATAGTCGAGTGCGCAAGCAATCTTTGCTCCTTCTCTTGCCCTTCATTTGGTTCCCGAAACAATTTACAGTTAAATGGCGCGTTCCACGGTGAACCGGGATTACTTTAAAATGCACAGTCTTGGGTATAACAATATAGTATAAATATATGGTTCAATCATAGAAAGAATGTTGTCACGATTCACTTAGCTTCAGTAAGAGTTTTACGACACTTGCAACACAATAAGGTCATATACCATTAAGTCTATGGAACAATCACAAAAAAAGTAAGTTGCCACGATTCTTTTAGTTTCAGTGAGGAGTTTTGCGGCACTTGAAACACAATAAGGTCATACATCACGATTCCTCACCTTGTCCATGATCAACCTATGACAAAGAAACGACACCGAAGCAGGTAGATTTTAGTATTATCAACCTTTAAAAAAGTGGACGCTTGGCTTTATATAACGCTACACAACAAAGTCAGATCTATGACTGACCTTCAGGAACTAACTGATGAAATACGTTTCGGTCAAGAGGACAGGTCTGGCTATCCAATCAGTTATGCACGATGCAAGTCAAACGCTCTGAGCGTTTATCGGACTCTCCAGACAATCAACAAAACAAGGGGGGGGGGATCACGCTTCTAAAATGAATGTTGTGTGCTGCTGCGAGGAAACTTTGATAGGAGTTTAGATAATGAGAAGCTAACCCGGGCTTAGAGGGATACAATATCCTTTCAGACAGATGGATATCCCTGATTTCATCATTGCATAAATGAATGAATTAATTAATTAATGATTAAGTAAGTAAATAAATAAATAAATACATAAATAAATAAATAAACGAAAAAATAAAACAAAAAAGAACAATACTTGGGACAAAAGTAAATAAAACAAAAGCAAAAAAAAAAGCACGTCCAATCAAAAACAAACGAAAAAGCCCTCCACAAAAATAAATAAATTTTAATGAATAAACTCCCAAACGTTAAGAATCTAGCCGCTACACCACACAACTCGCGCCGAAGTCATTAGTTGTACACAGCCTGCAATGTGGCCAAACCGAGCATTGGTAACGGAATATTCCCTCGTTCCCTCGTCTGTACCAAGGCCTATTATGATAAGTCAGGGAAACATGTTTATCTGAAGAAATACTTGCGGTCACATGGTACTTTTTTAAATCTCTACTACGACTATGACCATCGTTTTTGCCCTGTAAATAAATCTCTACTACGACTATGACCATCGTGTTTGCCCTGTAAACACGTTGGCTTGTGGCACTTTCACAACGAACTTCACCTTGAGAGAGAGAGAGAGAGAGAGAGAGAGAGAGAGAGAGAGAGAGAGAGAGAGAGAGAGAGAGAGAGAGAGAGAGAGAGAGAGAGAGAGAGAGAGAGAGAGAGAGAGAGAGAGAGAGAGAGAGAGCCTGTACTGTGATGCAAGTCCAGTTAGTTCAATATCCTCATGATAAATATTGTACGAGTACATGATAAAAACTTACATGTACAGAGATTGTAGGAAGGAAAACGAAAGGCTCGATTTAAAAAAAATAACAGCAATGATAATAAAGAGTTGAAGATTCCCCCGTTTGAAGAGAAAAAAAAAAGATTTAAAAAAACAAGTCTACGATTTAAAAAAAAAATCAAGACGACCGGTTGAAGATCAACATAATATTATGTTGCCATTTCCTCTAAGGGCCCAAGAGAGAGAATCTCTTGCTGTTATCAACACGACGTAAACTGTTTGATCATATCACCTAAAAACATTTGTTTTTAATGGAGTGAAGTAATCGGAAATCCACTGAGTAAAGACTGATGGTCCCGTCACAAGTTTTTACTTTTAGTAAACGTCTTACGGCACTTGCAACACAATAAGGTCATATAAGTGCCGAAGATTAGACGTGTTACAAGAGAGAAACAAGCACAAAAACAGAAGGAGGGGAGATAAAGACGATGGATGTTGATAGGAAAGAAGAAGCAAACCACACCAGAGCATCCGCCAACCACCCACTTTTACAGTTTGAGACGTAAACAGTTCATTTAAATAAATGGGGGCTGCAGGAGCAATAATTGGTGAATGGAAATACGTTAAGACGTTCTCAAGGCAGGATGACAGGTACGCGAACGTTCTATGGTTATTGTTAGTTTTAGTAGAGCTATTACGGCGCTCGCAACTGCATAAGGTAATATGAGCGCCAGAAGATTAGAGGTGTTACAAGAGAGTAACAAACATAAAAAAGAAGTAGGGAAGATATGGATGATAGATGTTTGATAGGAAAGAAGAAGCAAACCACACCAGAGCACCCGCCAACCACCCACGAAGAAAGGGAGATAACGACGATAGATGTTTGATAGGAAAGAAGGAGCAAACCACACCAGAGCACCCGCCAACCACCCACCCCTGCTCTATGGTTAGCCTATTTCACAGTATATTATGGTTCATGTATTGTAAGCTGTGTGTGTACTACGGAGATACAAAAAGCCAAGTCATATTATTGAGTTGGGGTCAATGTGACATTGCTGATTCGACTCTTGTTCTCTAAGGAGTTAAACGTAAAAAAGTTAATTACGCACACTTCGTGAATTCACGTTGCGAAAAACGATTCAGAAATGAACCATGTAGGTCAAACCAAGGACTGTTGTTGAAAACTGTTTATATTATAACCAAGTGTGTCAACCCACGGGCTATTCTGGAACGTCACAACGTTGAGCTGTATCATGGACATTGAAACTCTTTGCGGTGGAATTCTCAAAAGACATCAGCCTAGCTGGGATTGTGCACAGACGAACATTAATTTTTAAACGACAAAATAGGACATGTATTTATTGTAGTTATTGTGTCTAATTCATGTCGTTGTTGTTGTAGTTTAGAATGCGAATGCACCAGCCCCTGAAATTCAGGATGTGGTTATTTATTATAACAACAAGATGCTTTACATACATAAGTCATCGAAAACCATGTATTGATTATCGAAAAAGTTTACAAATCTCGAGAAGGTAATCACATATCACGAGCTATGCTATGTGTGTGTTACTTATATTCTAAGTCATACAATATACTTATAATTTTTGTCTGCATCGCAAGGTTGAGAATTAGTGTCGGTAATTATAAAGACGAATTATAGTATTTTATGTGAAGGGAAAAAATTGCAAGCAATGTCTGACATTAATTGTCCAAGTCTTTACAAGTCATGGTGAAAGAATATCGATCTCCACTCTGCCTAATTTAAGCAGTATGTATTAAATCTATACGTATTGTCACAACGTGAAGTGTTATTGTTGTTCTACGTGGTCTTATTGTTATTATATATACGAAGCCGTTGTTCATTAAACGCTATACAATATGATCACCAGCTAGAGTATATCATGTACTAGGCACATATAATAGTATGGTATTATGCATAAAAAAGGAACACGGTTGGAGCACAAAAACCATCGATCTATAATAATAATAATATGCCTTCTTCTCATTATGTGGCTATGTCTTGAATACCTCACAACTAGGAGAGCAGCTCAACACTTACAGCAGTCGTTTGGGGATTTGGCGTGTGTATGTGGTGTGTGCGTTCTTATACCAAATATTTTCTTCTACAAAATTGAACGCTTTCAACTCGAAAGCGCGGGAACGTTTGTTTACACTCGTACCACAGGCCGTCACGCGGTAACACAAGGTCGCGCCCAAGTCTCGCCCGGACGCGAGATAGGGCAATTGAAACATCTTGGTATTAGAAAATCTTTGCATCTCAGATGAGCTCTGGATGAGCCCACAGAATTCTATAAATACCCATTCACCCTCTGCTGCCCAATGAGGTACAGTCTAGGCGGGTACAGTATTTACTTTGGTCTCTGCTCCTGCTTGCCCAATGTGCTTACCTTCCGGTAAGGCTGGGCAATGAGTCGCTTTAGCAAAATACGGATAATACGTTAGTGCACCTCTTCGGCAAATAATATGATATGAACCGCTTCGGCAGATGGGTTGGAACCACTTCGAAAAACGGGTTAAAACAACTTCAACGAATGGGTGCACCCACTTCGGCAAACAGGTCAGGAAAGAAAGTCGGAAGTCTGAATTCGGATAACGTTTCATTGAGAATTTATCCGGTTATCCTTATAAATAGATTATCCGGATTTTGCCCACCTCTACCTTCCTGGCAGAGAGCTCACGCAGTTGGGTCATTGAGTCCGCACGACCTGAGCAGGAACCAAACTCGACGGGCGGTCAGTCGGCGCCACAGAATTCTACACTAAGTGTAGAATTCTGTGGTCGGCGCGTACCTTCGCACGGCCTCACTCTTGGCGGAGCTGTGCGCCAACCGTCTAAGTGGAAGAAATAGGTCAGCTAAAATAGCGTTCTATAAATCTATAACCAATAATTGCTGATGTGAATGTAATGGGTCCTCAATAAAACCAGCATTCAGAATACATCGGAACAGTGTCAGTTTCAGTAAATGTTTTCGGAACTTGCATCACAATATTTTTTAAAAAGAAGTGTTAGTTTAGAGTAACACACACAGAAAAGAAGGAAGATAGATTTAAAGACGGGCGTTTGAGGGGAAATGTGGAGTAAACCATACCAGAGCACCGTCTAAATGAAAGAAATAGGTCAACTCGTTTTTCTTTTCTATAAACACGAATAGCCGATAAACGGATCTTCAATAAAAACCAGTTGTCAGAGAGTTGATGGGAACGGGGCATAGAAATAGAAAACTACATGTAACTTGGAGCCAAAACAATTCAGGCGAGCAGAATGGCGAGAGAAATAGTATTCTTAATTGCAGAAAGGTCAGAGAATTATAGCGTCTAGTCCGAGAAAGAACATCCAATAACTCGAAAAGTTAAAAAGAGGAAAATGAAGTGAGAATACAATAAAATAGTGTAAAAGTACTGTGGGCTAACGACGCTTGTGTCTCATCTCACGACATTTTTCGTATTGTTTGTTTTTTGTAGCTAAGTAAAACGAGGTCAAAGCTTTTACAAACACAACTCGTCTGCACCATGGTGGGGAGCAGGAAGAAGCGTGAGTGACGAGATGGGTCGAGAGCTATACGTTCTCTGACCGTCAAGGTCGAGAGCCTTGGGAGAGAGAGAGAG